CACACAGTCATATGTCCATCATTGCGGGCATGGACAATGGCAGAGAGTCCAGCGTCCTATTGTCAAGATACAGTAAACAGTTTCATTGGGAGTCCATCTCAGTCTGGAAGTAGAGATGCATACTGTATTGTATCCTCACATCTGGATATGATAGTCTCCATTACACAGTTACTATACATCCCCTAAAACGAAAAGTCACAAAACATAATCAACAACAGGAAGGAAAATAAAAGAAATTAACAACAGGATGAAGTTAAATAACATGCTACTAAATTACTAATGTGTCACTGAAGAAATGAAAAGAAGATCAAGAACCTTCTTGAAGAAAATGATGTTACAGTATGATCTATGAGTCTTCGAAGAATTTAATCAGAAGAAACTGCTTTGAAGAGAAGAAACTAACAAAAAACATAAAAAAACCATGAGATATAATTTCTGTTGATATTTGCTGGTGATACGTGTCTCCTGTAGGCAACAAATAAAATGGTTTTGTTTTTTAATCAAGTCTACTAATCTATGACATACTGTCTATGCCGTAGTCAGTATTATTTTCCTTTGGGACCAGTGCAATGCACAGAACTCAGCAAGTTCTCACCAAGCTCAGCACATGCGCAGCTCAGTGCTGTCCCCACAGTCTCAAAGCCCTTGCCACGCTGTACAAAATGGGGCATGATGCAAAACTATTAGAGTTCTTGATCTGCTGGCCATCAGGTCTGAGTGCTACCCATACCTGTCTTGGGTGGAACCTGCAGGATGCCACGTTGTTGCAGTTCACTGAGTCAGAAATGAGCTCACGTCCAGCTCAGTACATGCACAGTCCTGCCCCATAGGCCTTACCTCCTTAACCAAAATGGTGCCCAATATAGCTCTAAGGGGCATACTGGGTTGTGAAATTGACCTTTTCCCATACTGCTCATCTGGGACCTGCTGCTCTGACTCTGCTCCTGGTCAAATAAACAGACCAGCAAGATGGGCAGTTCTTTGTCTGGGTTCACCGCCTGAGGTCCCGAGAAACATCCCTTCCCACCTTGTTTGCTGGTGGAGTTCAGATCGCTGTTAGATCAATGTCGCTGATGTATCAGTCACTGCAACACCACACCGTCGTGTCTGCTGCTTTCCTGTGTCTGTCAGTCTCCAGGTACCCCTCTGTTGTTGTTCTGTCTCCTTCTGTTTTCTGGAATATGCTCTCTGTTTCACACTGGCTAATATTTCTTGTCTGTTTAAATGTGTCCTTACTCCGCCATCTTGATTCTCTCTAAACAAAATCTTAATATGTCATAAGGGGAAGTTCTCTTGCTGATGTGGGGTTTGCTTATTTGATTAGAAAGATGTACAGCACAGGAGTCCTTAAAGTGCTTAGTGGAAGTTATTTGATGTGTCGGTAAGCAAGCAAGCTGATGGTGATCTTATAACTGATGGTAATGACCAAGATTCAGTTTTATGTCTACTTTTCTTCTGCCCCTTAAGAGATTCAGTACTATAGGCAAGATCTTAAGAGAATATTCAATTTGATGAAATTCATCAGGCTAATTGTACAATGCTTCTTCTCTATGCCACTGATGTCCTAAAAAACTTGGTGTATTTCCAGTTATCTGTGGAAGTATTTATTTTATTTTGTGTAGAGTTCATTTATTGGAAAGCCAGAGTTACAGAGAGAGGGGGAGAAACAGAATTTCCATGTGCCCGTTTACTGCCTAAAAGCCTGCAACAGCTGGGGCTTGGCCAGGCCGAAGCCTGAACCCAGAGCTTCTTCCAGGTGTCCAAGGGTCACTGGAGCGGTCCAGGCACTTGGAACTTCTGCTGCATTCCCAGGTGCATTAGCAGGGAGTTGAATCAGAAGTGGAGCAGGCAGGTCTGGACTAGGCACCCATATGGTATTCTGGGATTACAGGCAGAGCTTTTACTTGCAACACCGCAACACAAGTTCAAAGTATGCATTGTAATAAGCTTGTCAATAATGTAGGCTCAACTCCATACAAATGAGAATAGGTAATACTCTACCAGGCCTGTACAAAAAGTTAGTAAGGTTCACTAATTTTAAAAGATTAATTTAAAAATTTTGAAAGGCAGAGTTACAAAGCAAAAGTGAGATAAAGATCTTTCATCTGTTGGTTTACTCCTTAAGTAGCCACAACAGATGGAGCTGAGATGATCTGAGGCCAGGAGCTTATTCTAGATTCCCCATATGGGTCCAGGGGTCCAGGGGTCCAGGGACTTGGGCCATTCTCTGTTGCTTCTCCAAGTCATAAGTATGGAGCTGGGTTGAAAATGAAACATCTGGGACACAAAATGATGCATATATAAGATGCTGGCACACCACAAGTGGAAGTTTAGCCTGCTGTGCCATGGTACTAGCTCCAGATTCAGTGGTATTCACACCAGTTTAGAAAAAAAGAAAAAAAAAGAAAGAAAGAAAAAAACACAATTTCTTTCTTAGCTTCCAGGATTGACATCTCTAGGTCTAGGAGTTGTTTTGGGTGAAGTGACTATAACAGGTTGAAGTGTCAGAAGGGTATTAGAATTTGCATTTATGATCTGCTTTGAGCCCTCTCCAAGTCTCTCTCTCTCTTTTTTAAGATTTACTTATTTTTACTGGAAAGGCAGATATACAGAGAGGAAGAGACAGTGAGGGAGATCTTCCGTCTGATGATTCACTCCCCAAGTGACCACAACAGCTGGGGCTGAGCCGATCTGAACTCAGGAACCAGGAACTTCCTCCAGGTCTCCCAGGTGGGTGCAGGGTCCCAAGGCTTTGGGCGGTCCTCGACTGCTTTCCCAGGCCACAAGCAGGGAGCTGGATGGGAAGCGGGGCTGCTGGCATTAGAACCGGCGCCCATATGAGATCCCAGCACATTCAATGCAAGGACTTTAGCTGTTAGGCCACCACACTGGGCCCACCCTCTCCAAATCTTAGTGTGTGATGCTAGTCTTCTGAAAGTAAACATTATTTTCCACAACCCAAATGAGCACTGTGTGGCCCCAGGTCCCCAGTGCTCTTCAAGTGTCGTCTCCTACAAGTGTTTCCTTGGCATGGTCTGCTCTGGGTCAAACTGGTCCTTTTGCTGTTCCCGTAAACTTATTAAGAGCCCAGAGCCTCTGCGTTCAGCGCCCCTTTCTGTTCTTGCCCTTGCCCCTTCTGAGAAGCCTTTGGACTGGGACATCTTCTCTGAGTTCCTTCCCACTGCCTGTATGAGGGCACCACCCTTGGGCACTGCTTCTTACCAACCTCATAGGAAAAAAGCAATGGTCACCCCAGTTACTGCCTCTTCCTCACCTTTTTGTTTTTTCCTGTGTGATGAGGTTTATCATTTTGTGATAAAATGACTGGATTTTAATTTTGTCAGTCTCACTTGAATATAAAAATTCTGTGAGAACAGAAACTTTTGCCTGTCACTGCCAAATTCCTAAGAAAACACAGTGGTGGGTCTTTAATAAATGCTTAATTTTGGGCCCATCGCAGCAGCCTACCGGCTAAAGTCATCACATTGAACGTGCCCGGATCCCATATGAATGCCAGTTCTAAGCCAGTGACCCTGCTTTCTATCCAGCTCCCTGCTTGTGGCCTGGGAAAACAGTCGAGGACGGCCCAAAGCCATGGGACTCTGTACCCATGTGGGAGACCTGGAAGAAGCTCCTGATTTCTGGCTTCGGAGAGGTTTGGTTCTGGTCATTGCCAATTGCTTGGGGAGTGAATCATCAGACGGAAGATCTTCCTCTCTGTATATCTGACTTTGCAATAAAAATAAATAAATCTTAAAAAAAATTAAAGAAATCTTAAAAAAAATAGCTAAATATAAGAGCATGCTTTGCTGTCTCTTCATTTAACAAATCTTGATTAAGCACTTATTTTTTTTAAAAGATTTATTTCTATTGGAAAGGCAGATATACAGAGGAGGAGAGACAGAGTGGAAGATCTTCCATTCACTCCCCAAGTGACCACAACGGCTGATGTAGTGCCAATCGGAAGCCAGGAGCCAGGAACTTCCTCCAGGTGTCTCACGTGGGTGTACGGTCTCAAAGCTTTGGGCTGTCCTCGACCTCTTCCAGGCCACAAGCAGGGAGCTGAATGGATTTGGAGCCGCAGGGATTAGAACCGGCGCCCATATGGGATCCCAGTGTGTGCAATGCGAGGACTTTACCCTCTAGGCTACCGTGCCAGGCCCTAGGTATTTTTAAAACATATATACAGCAAAACATGATAATTAAGGCATAAATTCAGGAATCAGAACTGATTTTTAAATCTTTGTAGCTAGTGTTAGCCTAGGAGGTGAAGCTCTTTGCGTCTCATTTTCCTCATCTATAAATAAAAAATGTTCTTGTTTACTTTGTAGAATTCATGCAAGAATTAAATAACAAATATACACAAGTGTTTGGTTTTTGTGTTGTCATGCCTGGCAAATAAAAAACATTCAATATTTGTAGTTACAACATTCCAGAATAATGCTAGCTCAGATAACTACATCTGATTCAGGCGTCTTTTAAACAAGGAAAAGATAAAAGAACCAGTGAACTCCTAGCCAACTGTTTCTGGCCCTCTGTCCCTCCTTGCACACACCCAACCATCATCTCTCTCCTAATTCTGATTTTCAAATATCTAAAAGAAATAAATCTTAAAAAAAATCTTAATTTTATACTGTGTGCAAATTTTTCTAGTTATATATATATAAAATATCTCATACATATGTAAATAAGGATAAATTAAACTTCAGGAGAATACAGTTTTAGCTTTTTTAATTGTCTAAAAATGGGAAAAATGCTATTTTTAAAAAAGACTTAAAAATTCTGAAATTGAAATGTTATTTTTCAGCTGCATGATTCCAACTCTGTAATACAGTGCAAAGTATGTGTGCATGTGTGTGTGTGCATGTATGGGTGTGTGCATGCGCGTGTGTGTGTGCATGTGTGTGTGTGTGTGTGTGTGTGTGTGTGTGTGTGTGTGTGTGAAGATAGGCTACTGACAATCCTCCTACCTCCAACAAAGAATACAGGAAACATGCAAATGCTATAAAACAAAGTTTATTCTGCAATACTTTATCATAATGAATTGCATTTCTTTGGTAAAAATAAATTTTATAAACATTTTAATAATCAGAGATTAGATACAAAAACTAAACATTTGTAAGTTGTTTTTAATATGAGCAAAGCCTGGCAACTGGGAAGTGGTTCACTTGTGGCAGGTCATCTACTGGCAGTTATCATTCAAACCAGGGCAATTTTTATGCTACAGAAGAAAAGGGGGTAAGGAAACAGCTTAATAAGAAATTTCTTGAATGAGAAAGTGTTCTTACACCTTCATTAAAAAATAAATAGTTAAAATGAATTGGCAATTACACATTTTTATACACTATATGATGGCAACATAATACTTTAAGCACTTAGTTTAATAAGAAATATACAACAATTTTAAAAACAAATTTGACAATGGCACTGGCAGTTAGATGCAAACAATGTGCTTTAAGAAAAAATGGCAGGTACAACATTAAAATACTGTATTTTGCCTCTCAATAAATATTTTGACTACATCATTAACATACTGAAGTAAACTTAACACAAAGCTTACATATTTCAAACAAACAAAAAACTACAAGCCTCAAGGTTTCTCAAGTAAATGCTATATTCTTCACAAAAAGGTGTTGAAGTTCCTATAGTATTTAAATAGTCTTTACAGTTTTGTGAAGTATTCACATTTGTTTCTTAAATTACTGAAAAAGGCCTCCTGGTCTACCAAGACACATATTTTCCCTCCTTAACACTTTCTCCAGCTTTAAATTTATGCTAGCAAGTATTTAACTGATTATCTAGTATGAACCCTTTACATAATGCCTCACAAAGCAAACAGAAAAAAATACAGAATACTAAATTTTACCATAAGCAAAGGAATCTAAGTCAAGAGATCTTATGTTGGTTATTTAGGACAGGAATGGCTCAAAAGTGGAAAAAGGGAGGTGATACACAAATAATTGGCCTTTTACAAATAAAAATAATATTTCTTCCTCTGAATTTGAAAAGTAAAATATTAACTAATTTAGCAAATATTGCACAAATAAATTTCAAAAGTATATATTCAAGAAACACTGGTTCTATTTGGGATGTGAAAGATGAAGATTAACTGTGCCAAGACAAAATTTTTACTAGGGCTAGAACTGCAATCAGGTGTACCAAAATATTATTTTAATGTAAGGCAAATTATGTTAGCCTAAAATCACAGTTTAAAAATATGTAATTTCTTCAGGGTTTCCAAGTTTATTTATAATACATCCAAGTTTGTTGCTAATATTATCAAGAATACAATTTTTCAGTCCATAGGTCTGGGATGACTTTCATTAACTGGGTGTTATGAGCCATCTTTCTATCTAACACATTTGAGGAATGAAATCACAATCCCCATGAAGATCGTAACAGGGGAACATTACATAAATAGTCCTTTCCCCTGAAAATATCTTGGTATCTTAGCAGATGCAAAATGATGCAATGAATTCTACCCAAGACTTCCAAGTAACTGGGAACATCTGTGGCACAGAATTTCAGAACAAAATAAACTGGAACCAGATAATTGAAACACTGTTTCAGAGGGCCAGAGTAAATAGCTTAAAATTTTTTTTACTAAAGTGATTTTTGTGATCTCTACTATTTATACTGTGATGTTTTTTGTGGTGTTTTATTATTGTCTACAGTAAAAAGGGTCAACTTGGTTTATCCTGTTTTTGTAGATATGACATACAGGAAGAAGAAAATAATTAAAACACCTCATCCTGCATTTCAAAAATTAAAAATTGTATTTCATTAGCACCAATTCTATTAACATGGCTATCCAGATTCAATTACACTTAACACAGAAACAGGACAAAGATCGTGAATACTATTATCCCTGGCTTAAGGTCTTATCAATTGAAAAAGAAATTTTTGTTATTCTTAACAGTTTTGTCAAAAAACATCTGTACATCTCTTTTTCAAAAACCCAGAAAATGCTTTACAGTTGTGGAAAGAGCTGAAAGCAGCCAAGCAACATGACCCGTGCACACGTGTGTGTATGTATGTATATATGTGTCCACATGTATATAAATATTGAGGAAAAAAATGAAAACAAGGTCATTGTCTATGACATAGGACATATCATAAGACTGAACTTCTGGCAGTTTTCTCCATCATTGTTAAAAGAAATACAATGAATAGGTTTAATTTATTAGTATCCCCTGTTCCTTATGAATAATATAGTCAAACTGTACAGATGATATTATGAAAAACTGTCTTATACAAGCAGATTTGTTCAAATACTTAAAACACTTTAGTCAAATGTACTTTTGGAACAGTGATATAAAACCTTTTAGCGTGGATTAATGGCACATGTAAGTCTACACTGCCTCCTCAAAAAGCTGTGGTACAGAAGACCTAATTTTATACAAATCTTGAAATCCATGAAAGTATTTCTCCACAGTTCATTATATCTCCTAAAATTTAATTTGGTATATATACACTTTTAATCCATACAAAGCCTGAACAGAAGCTTTTCCTAAATGGTCTACTTGCACTAATGATAACTTAAAATAACACGTGTTCAAAAATGTTTTCTTATATGTTATTCCTATTATAAGTTTCTGCACAATGCAGTACCTTACCAAGCAAATCAGAGTCTCTTATTGCAAAAGTGTGTCAAAAATAGGTGTTATTTCAGAACACACTCTATGGCTATATCCTCTCATTGGATAATTTTCATTGAACAGAGACATCTATTGGCTAAAATTTGAACAATGGTTGCAAAGCACTTTGGGAAGGACAAAAGGCCCATGAAATAGTATATGCTATCTGTGAAGTAAAAACACCTCAAAGATAGCACAGCAATAGGAACTGGAATCTTCTTCAATGAAATCACATCCCCACACTGCCTTTTCTAAACTGTAGAACTTCTTGTATTTTCTACATTTGTGGCCAAAGTCTTTTCGATTTTATATCTGACTTTGCTCATGTCACAAGAAAAAATAATTTAGAGCAGAGAAACAAAATAAAAACCCCAAACCATAACCTATCAGATGTATGTCAGGTGAAGAATATCTGAAAGAGATATCAGCAAAAAAAATGAGTGGAATCAGTAGCTATCGTTAAATTCAGATTTTAAAAAATAAAATTTGAAAAGTTTTATAGAGCTGCCAAATCTTATATTTTAACATCTTAACAGAAGAAAATATTTTTAGCATGAGTTTATAGCTGAAAATTTTAGAATTTTCTTATATAAAAATTTCCTAATCTTTGAGAGTTTAATCACAAAAATGCTTTTAGGATTTATGTATTTAAGATTGGGCATGATCCTAACAGCAATTGTGTAATAAAAATGAAAAAAAAAAAGAAACCCCAAAACATTTGAAAATAAACAAGTAATTAGCATCCCTCTTCCACCCTGACACTAAAGAAGTCCATTATGGCTTTGATATCCCTTGTAAAGAATGAAGTAGAAGAGTATTGCCACACTTGGAAATAATTTTTACAAAAACAAGTATTTCTATTTTTTCCGCTGCTTTTGATTTTGTGTCTTTGCAGTACTTATCAGGGAGCCTAAACAGGTACGGATTCCTGCAAGGTGGAGCAGAGATCCAGCTGCCTCTTTGAGCTCCTCATCAATTTCTTGACACGACTGCTCTCGCTTCTTTTTCCCTGGCTGCCCTTTTCCAGAGGTATTTGCACAAGGCTGTGATGCAAAGCCACTGTCTCTAAGAGGATCATCTTCATAATCAATGTCTGTATCTTCTTCACTATGAAATCCTTCACTGCCGTCACTTCCCACATGGCTATTCTTTGGGATAAATTCATATACCTCATCCACAGATGACAACGAAGATACGCTAGACCTGGATGCACAACGCTGTGCTGCCATGCTACTTGCACTGTAATTGTGATCTTCTTTTGGATCAATGCTGGTGGCTAAAGAATCACTCTCTTGTAATTGTATAGCACTGGGATGATTAAATGCTTTCCCATAACTCCTCTTTTTTTGCAGTGATGTCTTAAGAGGAAGTGGCTTCTCACCTGTGGGAAATAAAATTTCTATCAATAGGTCAAATGCATCTGATTGCACAGACAGACCATTTAAAATTGTTATTTCACTCCTGAGCAGTAAGCACATGGATTATGACAATGCTCTGCAGGATTTAACTTTAACCCAAAAAACATTATTCTGTAGGACTTAATCTGAAACACTTAAAAATTGTTTAACAGTATGTCTTGATCCTTCTATGGAACATATATTTTGGACTGCGAAAACATAATGCAGTACTGCTTAGCTAACTACTTCTTTGTCAATATTTGGGCCATTATCAATTTCTCAATGGTACAGTACTGAAATGAAAATCCTTTGAATACTTTTTCTCATACATGCAAATAATTTTCTAGGAGGAATACCAACAGTTAGAATCTCTCCATTAAAGGAATATGCATTTTAAAGTATCCAGTATTCCTAAATTGCCATCCAAAATGATTTTATCAACTTATGTACAGCAGTGTATGGCAAGATCTATTCCCATAGCTAATATCTAAAAATGTTCATCATTTGGAGTTTTGATAATCTTATGGACAACAAAAAAGTATTGCAATATTGTTTCATTTTGCATTTCCCAAATAACTAGTTATACACCTTTTCTTATGTATACTGATTATATATATTTCATATTCAGAGATTTACTTATGCATTTAACTTGCTGGCTCTTCTATTGAATTGCTTTCCTATTTCTTACTTTTGGATCCCTTTTTAAATAAATTTCATTAATCTTTGGCCATTTTATGTAGTTAAAAAATGCATTCTTCCAGTGTTACTTGTGTCACTTAGTGAAATATTTTGTCAGAACTCTACAATTTTTGCGTTTTATTAAATTGATCTGTTTTCCTATATGGATTCTGCATTTACTATCATAAAGAAAGCTTTTACAATTCCAAGTTAGAAATACACTTTCCTATATTTTCTTACTTAGACTTCATTTTTGCTTTCAGCTCTTCAAATTATTTTCTAGATTTACCATTTATTGATCAATGTAAAACAAAAACCATAGCATTAATCTTAATTAATTCTCAATTGTTCATATAAATTAATAGAAATGGAATAAAAATAAGCTATTCAGATCAAAACATAAATTAGTGGGAAGGAATCTATATCTGTAACATTGAAACATTTTATATTTTAAATCAAATTTAGGCACTTATGCAAAATGTATCCTAAAAAGAAATCGCACGGTTTCTTACATTCTAAAATTCCTTGTTTTATAGATGTATTCAACAGCATCATTGCAGTGGCAGCATCAATATCAGATTCTGAAAAAGGAAAAGAAAGGTAATATTAATGTTCTTCAAAAGAAAAAGAAAGGCCCAGCAAGATGACTTGGAGGCTACATCCTTGTTTTGAACTGCCAAGATTCCATATGGGCACTGGTTTGTATCCCAGCTGCTCCACTTCCCATCCAGCTCCCTGCTTGTGGCCTGGGAAGGCAGTTGAGGACGGCTCAAAGCCTTGGGACCCTGCACTCATGTGGGATCCCGGCGTATGCAAGGCGAGTACTTTAATCATTAGGCTACTGCGCTGGACCCCTATCTATTTCACTTCTTTATAGAATTCTCTCAAGCCTTTGCACAGTTTCTCTCTCTTGTTGTACAGATTACAGTAGAGCACTCTTGAGGCTAACTTAGCAGAGTTTCAAAGAACCAAATGTCTGATACACAAAAAGACTTTTCTCTGAGAGCTTATTTATTTATTTATTTTTAAAGATTTATTATTATTTTTTTTTACTGGAAAGTCAAGATATACAAAGTTGAGGAGAGACAGAGAGGAGGATCTTCCACCTGCTGATTCACTCCCCAAGTAGCCCCAACTCCTGCAGCTGCACTGATCTGAAGCCAGGATCCCGGAGCCTCTTCCTGGTATCACACATGTGGATGCAGGGTCCCAAGGCTTTGGGCTGTCCTCAACTGCTCTCCTTGGCCACAAGCAAGGGTCTGGATGGGAAGCAGAGCCGCTGGGATACAAACCAGTGCCCATATGGGATCCTGGTATGTGCAAAGTGAGGACTTTAGCAGCTAGGCTACCGTGCCGGGCCCAATAGTTTATATTTTAAAGGTCATGGAAATGTTTATCATCTCCAAAACAACAATGCTAGAAAACTACTGTAACATATTACTAGTTCACAATATTAACTATTAAACTCCACTAATCAGAATTTTGATATGCTTTCCAAAAGTAAATAAAAAATTTTAAAAAGTCAACTTACTACCTTCCTAAAATTCTTTATATTTGATAAGCTTATGGAAGTATTCAGAACTGTGTATAACCTAGGAGACAGCAAACTTCTTCAGAAAATAAATCTGGTAGGTTTTGCAGGCCAATAGGTAAAGCCTAGAATGTAGTAAAGTAGGTCTCTTTTTGTGACCATCTAAGTAGCAAATTTTCAAGTCTTGATTATTGCTAATTTGATTATTTTTTCCTAGCTATTTTAAAATGTGAGACCATTTTTAGCTGAGAGACCACAGAAAAACAGGTGGCAGGGCGTACATGACGAGGGAGTCACGGTTTGTCAATGACTCTGTTTTAGTCTGATAGATCTAAAAGGATAATTCTACTTATGACACTATTATAATAGTAAGTTAAATTCTATTTTTGAGACAAAGTACACATAAAAGAATCAGGAGATGTTGTTTGGTGCAGAGGCTTAAGCTGCCTCCTGCAAAGCCCACGTGGCATATCAGAATGTCTCAGTTAAGTTGTGTCAACTCTGCTTCCTATTCAGCTTCCTGCTCTTGTGCATCCAGCGAGGCAGCAGGCGATGGATGGCTCAAGTGCTGCAGCCTGGACTGAGGCTCCGGCTCCTGGCTTAGTATGGTCCGGCCCTGGCACTGTGGGCCTTTGGGAAGTGAGCCAGTAGTCAGAAGATCTCTCTATGGCTCTGTCTCCAAATAAATGCAAATAATAATTTTTAAAAGTCTATCATTAACATATCTCTATAATTAGAAAACAAAAGTAAAAAAATCCTGAGCCTTGATCCAAGTTCTTATGATTTGAAACATGATCTTCACACATACCTTTGAGGGTTTGCACTTGGTTCTGCTTGAGTACAGAGTTTAAGTAGTGAGGTGATAAAGAATCACTGAAAAATAAAGACAAATGTGTTTGTACAATATGCATTTCACTTTTCCCAGAAGTTACTTACAAATACAGCTAATTTATACCATAAAAATATAAACTTTTTAAAATAAAAAAGATGTATTAATTTATTTTGAAAGTCAATGATAGAGATCTTCCATCCCTTGGTTCACTCTCCAGATGGTCATAAGGCCAGGACTGGGCCAGGCCAAAGCTGGTAGCTGGGAGCTTATCCAGGCTTCCCACATGAGTGGCAGAGGCCCAAGCACTTGGGCCATCTTCTGCTTCTTTTCCCAGGGAGATGGATCAAAAATGGAGCATCTGGGACATGAACTGGTTCCCAGACGGCATGCCAGTGTTGCAGGTAGTGGCTTTACCTGATACTTCATAATTCTAGTCCATTTTAACTTGCTTCATTGCTAACGCTAGTTAGTGTAGAAAAAGACTACTAAAGCGGAAAAAAACCTAAGCGCTTAGATTAAAAACATTATTTGGATATCCTTAGGCAAAAGAATTAATTTCTTAGTTTATTTGTATAACAGGAATAATTAGAGCTCCCAAAGAGAGCTGTTGTGATAATTATATAAAAATAATGCTAAAGGGTGGGTGTTGTGGCAGAGAGGGGGGTAAGTCAGCAATGTGGACACTTGCACCCTCTCCTGCAGATCCATTCTTGCCTCAGATTCCAACCCAGCATCCTGATAATGCACCTGGGAGGCAGCAGATGGTGGTCCTAGAACTTGGATTCCTGCCATTCACGTTGAAGACCAGGATGGAGTTCCTATCTCCTGGCTTGCTCCTGGCCCATCCCTGTTTATTGTGAGTATTTGGTGGGTGAACTAATAGAAGATATCCCTATCTTTTCACTCATTCACTCTTTCAAACAAATAAATCTTTTAAAAAGTGCTTAGAACAATATTACTATCTGATAGTTTTTAATTGGATGCTTAATTTTGATGCAAAATTACTATAGATATTGCCAAAGAAATAAAAGCACTTATTGGGGCCATTATTGTGCAATAGTGAGTAAAGTAGCTTTCTGCAAAGCCAGCACCCCATTTAAGGATCAGGTTGTGTTTCAATCTCTCTACTCTCCATTCAGTTCTCTGCTAATGGCCTGGAAAAAGCAGCGGAAGATGGCCCAAGGTTTTGGGCCTCTTGTCCTCCATGTGAGAGACCTGGATCAAGCGCTTGGTTCCTGGCTTCAACTTAGCCCAGCCCTGGCCATTGCAGCCATCTGGAAAATCAATTAGTAGACAGAAGATATCCATCTCTGTGTCTCTATCTCTCTCTTTAACTTCTGCCTTTCAAATAAATTAAAATAAATAAATAAATCTTTAAAAAGTTACAGAGAAAAAAGAAACAAAGAAAGACATCTTCTATCCACTGGTTCACTCCACAGGCAGCTGCACAGCCAGGGCCAAGTTCTACGCAGCAGCCAGAGGCTTTATCCAGGTCTGCCACAGGGTGGCAGGGGTCTAAGTACTTGGGCCATCTGTTTTTTTCAGGCCATTAGCAGGAAGGTAGATCAGAACTGGAGCGAGGTGGGACATTAGCTGGAATCTATATTGGATTGTGGCATTGCAGGCTGAGGCTTCACTATGAAACAATGCTGGCTCCAGATGAATAAATAAATCTTTAAAAAAAATTATTTTGATCTCAAAACACTGAAATGTCTGTACTGAATTTTTATAAAATGTATTTCCATTAATCTTCTGAGAATCTCCCTCATAAAACACTTCAACTAATAAAAGCAGAACTTTCCATATGCTTCTGGATTATTATTTAAGTAGAATGCTTCATAAATGTCAACATTAATAAAGAGGATAGTAATTCAGAAATGATGAAATAAACTGATAATTTGCTTTGTATTTTCATTTAGTAAGAACAAACTATTCAGTTTTGCTCATACCATATATCTAATTTACAAACCAAATTCAACAAGCTTGAAATGTCAATGTATATATAATCACTGGTATTTCAACTTCACCCTTGCTAGATTTTTACTCTATCAGGTACAGCCACTCCTCTAAAAGCTATCTGTTAATACCTGAAGAATCCAAATTAGGGGCCAGCATTGAGATGATAGCAGGTTAAATCACTGCCTTGAATACTGGCATCCCAAGTGGTTGCTGGTGAGAGACCTGGCTTCTCCATTTCAGATCCAGCTCCCTGTTAATACACCTGGGAATGCACTAGAGGATAGTCAAGTGCTTGGGCCCTTGTATCAGTGTGGGTGACCCAAGAGGAACTCCTGGCTCCTAGCTTTATCCTGGCATAACTTTAACCAATGTAACTATTTCAAGAGAAAACTAGGGGGTCAGAATTGATAAACAGGGGGATCTCTCTCTCCTTTCATCTCTAAAACTCTGCCTTAAAAAAAAAAATCCAAATCGACTGTTATATGACATATTGATAATTGTTGCAACCAACAGTTCATTAGAACTTTCTTACTACTTTTTGTATATGTTAAAAACTTATTATTTTATTAACAGTTTTTAAAAAGTTTTTAAAAGAATGTCAAACAGACTACAAGAGCTAGCATTTCCAAATCAAATGAATAAATATTATAGAATTTTAAACGATTCTGAATGCTTCTTTAGGAAAGGGAAACAAAATCAGATTTAGAGGTCAGAGTATTTTTGGATTTAATTTAAAATAAGCAAGCTAGAAAATCAATAGAGTTGCAGGATTTAAGAACAAAAAGTGGGGCCAGTAATGCAGCGTAGTGAGTTAAGCTGCTGCCTGCAATGCTGACATGCTGTTTCAAAGAGCAGGTTCAAGCCCTGGCTGCTCTGCTTCTGATCCAGCTGACTGGATAGAGTTCCAGGATCCTGGTTTCGGCATAGACCAGCTCCAATACTTGTAACCATTTGGGAATCAACTAGCAGAAGGAAGAACTCTTCCTCTGTGTCACCCTTCCTATGTCATGATGCCTTTCAAATAAACAAAAATATCTTAGGTTACTGTCTTGCCTATAAATAATTCTGTAAAAAGAAAAAAAGAAAAATGTTAAAACTTTGTTAGGTTTTTTCATCTCACAATTAAATCTTGTAAGTCATCATTGACAGGTATAATTAAATGGAAGATTCTTACCTTTGTGGAGATGCAGGAGAAGTGTAAGATACTGGTGTTGAGGGATAAGGTTGCTTCTTCAGTGCCTGCATAAGATTAGGTTTATATTCTGGATCAACACACCATAAGGAACCTTTTCCATTAACCTAGAAAAATATGTAAGAATTAATAACCTAGAATGTATATATACTCATAATTAGTATTTGAATGCTTTTATTTTTAAAATTATTTATTTACTTAAGAGATTTAATTTGAAAGAGAGTCACAGCAGAGAAGAGAAACCTAGAGATCGATCTTTCATCTGCTGGCTCACTCCCCACAGGGCCTTAATGGCAGGGGCTGAACTGATCTGAAACCAGGAGCCAGGGCTCAAAGCTGTCTCTGGATCACCCACATGGATATAGGGGCCCAAGCAGTTGCTTTACAGACCATTGGCTAGGAGCTGTACTGGAAGTGGAGCAGCAGGGACTCACATCAGCATCTTAAGGGATGCTGGCACCATGGGCAGAGGCTTAATCTGTTATGCCATGGCACCAGCCCACACACCTTTTAAAAAATTTAAACATATTTATTGATTGATTGCATTATTTCAAAGATAGAATTATATAGAGGGAGAAGTGGAAGAGAAATGTTTTGTCCACTGGTTCACTCCCTAAATGGCTCCAATGGCCAGGTGTGGGTGAGGCTGAGCCAGGAGCCTGAAACTCAATTTAGGTCTTCCACATGGTGGCAGGTGCATTAGCACTGGAGAGCAGATATCTAGAACCAAACCAGCACTCAAATGGGATGCTGGTATCACAGATGGCAGTATCATACTGTATCACAAAGCTGACTCCTGTCTAATGCTTTCAGAAAGTGTATTGGGTGGGCGTGAGATTCTTAGTGTCTTTTGTGAGAATACATAGGTTAAAGTGTGCTTGCTACTCTTACAATGGTAGTCAACATGAGGTATGCAAAACTTTCTCTAATTCATGAGATAAATGAGATTCAAATCCTTAAGTTCCAGTTTTTATATTTACACCATCACTAGTTTAAAAAATCTCTACTTTTTAAAAGAAACATTTCTCTACATTTGAATTATACTTTTCAACTACATTAAAGATTGTTTGAACAATAAAATTTACTTATTCCCCGTAGTCTTTCTTGATAAGAATTCCTATAGGATTTAAGTTATAATTATTGTTGAAGATTTAATGTGATGATCTCCATTCCCCAAAATTCTTTTTCAAGATAATGAGTCTGAGGCTCTTCGATTTCTGAATATTACACAATGATTTAAAAACAAACAACCTAGTTTGTTTGAGAGACAACAAGTAAGTGAGCAAGCTCCCATTTGCTGTTTCACTTCCCAAATACTTACATAGTCCTGGATAAAACTAGGAGCCCAGAAATCAATCCTGCCTTCCCACATGGCTGGCTGGAACCTAATTACTTGCACCATCAAGGCTGCCTCCCAAGAAGCTGGAATCAGGAACCCAATAAGGGATCAAACCTGGGTTCTGAGTTGGGATCTGGGTATCTTAACATTTACATTAAGATTTATTTGTTTTTATTGGAAAGACAGATATTCAGAAAGAAGGGGAGACAAAGAGGAAGATCTTCCATCTGCTGGTTTACTTTCCAACTGGCCCAAATAGCTTGAGCTGAGCCAATCTCAAGCCAGGAGCTTCTTTTGGGTCTCAAATGTTGGTGTAGGGTCCCAAAGCTTTGGGTTTTCCTCTACGGCTTTCCCAGGCCACAAGCAGGGAACTGGATGGAAAGTGGAGCAGCTGGTACATGAGCTGGTGCTTATATGGGATCCCAGTGCTTGCAATGCAAGGATTTAGCCACTGTGCCACTGCTTCAGGCCCCTTAACCCACATCTCAACTAGGCTAAGCATCTCCCCTGCATTGTAACTGTTCTAGCAGAATGATGTGTGGTGAAAGAGCACTGTTCCAAGCATTTAAGCTGATCACATACTGAATCACTGTATGATAAGTGGCTAATAATCTAATCTTAGAATTGGTCCTCTCATTCATATTTTACCTACAAAACAAAGCAACAATGCAGGTCAGTTCACTGAACATTTATGAGACTCAATTTAGGTAATTTATATTCAAGTAACAAGGCGCTAAAAATAGGTGAATAATAATGAGGTATTCTGAAGTTAGCGGGTATTCATTTATTTGGTTGAATAACAACATATTCCTACTCAATTACTTCCAAGAGATTTGTTAAAACCAAACATAACAAAAGTTAATTCTGAATGAAAGAAAGGTAGTAAAGAACAAGAGATACGATAAATTTAAAAAGGGGGAAAATAAGTCCCTCTTACCTGTGGAAAAGTATAGCCAATCTTATCCCTCAACCTAATCCTAGCAATTAAATCCACAGGGCAAGAAAAATCACAAGTGTCATATTCTTCATGCGGAGAAACACCAGATCATCAGGGAAAATTTTAGTAGTATTCAATAGCAAAATGTCACATTGTCTACACTAAACAAATATTTGACATTTTGATTTTTTCTCATCAAAAGCCAAGTTCTACAAATAATTTTTTATTAAATAATGAGAGTTAAATTAAATCTATGTTATGCCAGCTGTACCAAATGATCAATTTGCTTTGATGACAAGGAAATAAAACTTGAAGATGTAAGTACCCATTACATCCTCTTCCTCAAAGCTAATTCACCTTCATAAAAGAAATATATGCATGGATTATTTTTCCTTGATTGAACACAATTATTTTAGCAATTCTAGCCATATTCTGCCTTGATATTTCTCAGATCATAATTCTATAAACTGTTTAGTTCAAGTATACTTTTCAAATTCTATTGTGAGAGAATTGCAGATTGTTTTGATCACAGTAAAATTGCTATTTCCTTGAAATAGAAAATTGCAAAAAGTGGTATTGAAAACGTGCAGTTTCAGGCCAGTTAAGTATCTTGAGTATGGTCTCAAATAACAGTCTGGTTATGTTACCATGGCAGCACTTCCTTTCAGAGGGGTTGTTCATGAACTAGCAGTAACAAGAGATAAAACTATGTATTTGGTAATCCGTGGTTTTGGAGTCTATACAAGAAAGATCTTATTTTAACTAATTCTTACTTAAAAATTTGGCTACTATATTACTGCATTTAGATGGTGGAACTAAATTCACCTATAACAAACTAAATCTTCTGTGCAACAGAATTAGGAAGTTTGCATTCTCTATTTTGCATTTTGGGAACTCTAAAGAATCACTTAAGTAAAGTTTTAAGAAATGAGGAATGTACTAGGAGCTCAATTACAAAAAGAATTTTAAAAATTAATTTTTGGGACACGTTCAGCACAGTCTAAGATGCCCACTGGGACCCAAACCCATTCCATATTAGGACTCCTGACTACTGAGCTGGAGGGTGGCAGTGATGGTGCAATACTTGAGTTTCTGTCACTCACGTGAGAAGTCTGGAATGAGTTTTAGGTTCCCTGCTTCATCCTGGCTCAGCCCTGGTTGTTGTGAGCGTTTGAGGAACAAAACAGAAAATGGGAACTCTGTCTCTACCTCTCAAAAAGCAGAAATTTTGATACTAGTGTTTGATAGATGCTAGCCAAACCAAAGCATAAGGGAAGCTATGAGGGATTCATTAATTATGACAAATATATGAGATGCTAATGGGGGAAATGGGATAAAAGGTACATGGGAATTATTTGTATTGCTTCCTCACAACTTATGCTTCATAAATTAAAAACTATCAGACAAAATATTAAAAAGTATTTACAATGAATACAGCCCATTATTAAGGTTATATACGAAGGCACAGCAGGGAAAGATGGGACCCTGCACTCTCTCTGGAGACATCTATGAGCTCCTGGCTCCTTGTTTTGACTTGGCCTATCCCTGGCCACTGTGGCCATTTAGGGATAGATTCAGCGATGAAAGGTCTTTCTCTTTGTCCCTTCCTCCCTCCCTGTAAATCTGACTTTGAAATAAATAATTAAAGTTATTTATAACATTATTGTTATATGATATAGTGAATATATAATACTATAATATATCTACTTTATATTAAATATTTATATTATCATTAAGTTATATCCATAACTAATCTTACTAGTAAAAGAATTTTAAAGTCTACCATCTTCTCTCACAATAAAGTATATCATGTTCTAAAAAACAAAAACCCAAATCAAACTGAACCAAGCCCCTGCAAAACGAAAGAATAAAACAGCATGAGTCTTTTGTCATCTTAAAATCCTAAAAGAAGCTAACTACCAAACCAAGATTTTACACCCATAATCAGTATAAATAAAAGAAAAAAAACTTAACCAGCAGCTACATGAGCAGGCTGAGTAAGATTATTACTTCATAGTTTATCTGGACCTTGTTATGATGCCTTTTTCTGGGATTATCATAATCTCTAAATAGTAGCTACTTTCATCAGAAAAATGCTGTCAAGTTTACCAGCTTCAATTGTGACATTTAATTGGAGTATAATTTAGCTGCTTTCCAGATTGGAAGAAAAATGCTGTCATTCTGAGGTACTGACTCAACAAAGGCTTCATAAATTAAAAAATTCATATATACTCTCAATCCTACTTGAATATATATCTGTCTAAATCTTACATATTTAGACAAAGTGACCTCTGGATTTTCTTTCCTTTTTGATTTATTCATTTGAAAGGCAGAGTTACAGAGAAGTGGTGGGGAGAGACAGAGGTCTTCCACTATCTGGTTTACTTCCCAGTTGGCTACAACAGTCAGGGCTGGGCTGGGTCAGAACTGAAACTGGTACCCAAGAGTTTCTTCCAGGTCTTCCACACAGGTACAAGGCCCCACACACAAGTGCCATCTTCTGCTACTTCCCCAGATGCATTAGCAGAAGCTGAATTGGAAGTGGAACAGCCAGGACTCACACTAACACCCATGTGGGATGCTGGCACTTGTCATATCACGGCACCATGGAGGTGCCATATCACCAGGTCCATGGAGATTTTATGCAGTTCATCACTCTACAAATTCCTTCTTTGTCCCCCTTGACTTGTGATGTTTGCCAACTTCTGTCCCAATATATTACAATTTCTGTATTTATCCCTGAATATTTTATTGTAAGATGATAAAATATTCAGGGATAAATACAGATTTATCAAATCTATCATGTTTATCAAATACAGTTTTATCAAACT